TCTTAGGCTGAAAATTTTCAAATTTTGTTTTCCTCCAGAAAACAGTTCTTGGGATCTTACTTGACCTCTTGAAGGTGATACAGGGCAGAAAAGTAGTCTACAAGTGCCCCAAACACCGCTTTCAAAATATGTACTTTGAAATAGAAATGACAGTTTTCGCGCAGTTTGACACAAAGAGACAAACTATTACTTAGTGGCTTTTGTGGCGGAGCACAATACAACGGAACTAAAGATGTTGACACCGACTTGAGCATGTCAACGACATCAGTTCAAAGGCATGGCCCAAGTTCTTCCTGAAAAGCAACACGATGCGCTGGGCGGCGTTGCACTTGCATACTCTTTCGATTCTGGCAGTGACACTTTCGATCGTCGCCTGCGTTTCCGAGACTGCGTCAGACGCCTCATGAGAGCTAAACGCAAGTAACGTCGTAAGGCAGCCGGTTCGCCGCCTAAATGATTATGTACTAGCCCACAACTTGTGCCTCTTAGCTACTGGAGACGACGGGGACGATTCAGCTTCACTGTCGACATCAACATCAATGAGATCCCAACAAATTGTCAGCGTCGCTCGGCAGACCCGCCGCCACGGACTTGCAGACACCTGAACAAACCTGGGCCATGCACAGCGATCGTCTGGCCCTGCGAGCTGCTCTAGTATCACTAGATGCGGACATTGTCAGTCTTTGCTCACCAGCTACTTGAAGTAGAACGCCAAACAAGTGTTTGAACAAAAAAATTTTTTTTGAGAAGATGATCGCCACATCATGAATCATTTGAATGAAGTGCAGAGTGAACGCGCTCCAAAAAAACATTTTTTTTCATTTCATCATTTCCCAACTTTTTTACGAAACCCCAAAGACATGTTTTAGCTGATCGCGGCCCATCTTGTATTTGGAAGCCGTATTTGAATATGCATTGTGGCCAGCCGTCTTTGATTGTTCGGTACGGGACAGGCACGGGACAGGTACGGTCGAGGGTAATACGACACCATCTACCGCCTTGATGACGGCAACAAAAGAATAGAGATGTTATAAAAAATTTAATTTTCCTATTTTTTCAGGCATTACCTGGGATTTGAACCCGCACTATCGCCCTACTTGCATTCCCCCATACACTTCGCATTCATACTCATTCTTCCAAGTTGCTTCACGTTATGATCTTGCGTTTGAAAGCCCTATTTGAATAGTGCGGCCAGCTGTATGTGAGCAGCTGTGTTTGATGGTACAGTACGGTACGAGACAGATACGGGATAGCGCCAGACGTGACACAAACACACAAACACCAAATTAAAGCTGTGTGGACCCTGGATACCGCCAGACGTTACTGAAGTAATGTCTTCTGCATAGCTACGGGAATAATAATCTTTTATTTTAGAAAAAAGGGAAAGGAGAAGGGCGAAAAATGTTACGAGCTATGACTAACTGCAACTCGTAACAATCATGTTTTGCCCTCCTCCTTTCTCCATAATTAAATTCGCTCGTCATCCGAGTTAAAATTATTTATTTTCTTCAAACACTTTCCATAGTCAACACCCTCAACGGTAAAAACAAGGGTAATACGATATTTGCAAAGTAAAATTATGATAGCAAAATAAATTATTAGTGATCAAAACGAAGTCATGAACATTATCCATCGAATCTGACAGATAAAGGTTGCAAGGTCAGACCAGGCATGCTGCAGATCTAAAGCTGTTTACGAAGGCCTGGAATGCAGTTGTGTTCGTTGTGTTAAGCTGTGTTCACAACTGGCGCGTGTACGCGTGAAACCACGGGTTTGTGCGTATTTTTGCTGGCTTTTGGGGCGCCATGCGTACGGAAACGCGCCGAAATGGAACTTCCAACATGTTGGAATTTTCAGCGCGTATCAGGCGCGTATCAGCGTACATGCCAGTCACTTTGACTGGCGGGGCCAACAAATTAGTACTCGAAGGTGTCGCACACGCTAAATACGACTCGGATTGCTGTTTTTTGTGAAAGGCTGAGCGCGCGTTTGGCGGCGCATGAACCGCAAGCGTACCGTGTCCACGCACCAGTTGTGAACACAGCTTAACTCCGTAATGTGATTATCAATAGTACCACGTAACACATGTATGTTGTTAGCCCACTTTGCGCTGACCTACCTATTGCGTTTGCACCTGTAACTGTCCCAATTGATGTGGTGTTGACCACTTCGCTTTGAACACACTTTTCACGTATCATTGACGAGATATGACTTGTACATCTACAGAAGAGGTTGGCCAAAAATGCCAGGGCACCCACAACAAATTTTGGATATCTAAATGCTTGCATTGTCATGTAGAGTTGTGCTATGCACCTTAGGCTGCAACCACACAAGGTACAAAATCAAGTACAAACGGCATTACAGTAGAACTCGTCATGCCGACGCGTGCGAAATGCTAAATGCGCTTTGTAGGTTTTCAGCAACTGGCGCACCCCTGTAGAAAGCCTCGTTTGTCGTTTTCGTCGTTTTCGCGCTCCATCTCCTGTGTACAACTTTGTTTTTGTACCTGGTCGTCGTACATAGCATCAGCATCAGCATTTTTTTTGAATTTCCCGGTCTTTTCTAGCGCATGGCACACGCTTTGGTACGACAACGTCATGTGCTGGTCGCGTGAAAACGTCATCTATGCAGACCGAAAAGTGTAGTGTGGTTGCGTACCGACTAGTACTGAGATATGCATGAAAATTTGTACTGTGATTTTTACGTAGTGTGGTTGCGGCCTTACATACATACATGCATGCATACATACATACATACATACATACATACATACATACATACATACATACATACATACATACATACATGCATGCATGCATGCATACATACATACATACATACATACATACATACATACATACATACATACTGTGCACAGTGGAAGGTCAAATTATGCTTTGCTTACTTAGAATTTTCAGGACCACCCCACACACTTCTTATTGGATTTTGCTGGACTTCTAATTACTGCTATCCGTATATTCCCAGTTATAGACTTGAATTACCAGACATTGTTATGCGGAAATCGTATGATAAAGCCCTATCCTGGAAGAGACTTCTAATTCAGTTGTTAAACTGTAGCACTTGAAAAAGAGAATTTGTCACGTTACACCTCGTGCCCTGCTTACTCTTTTCTCTGGATCTGAATTTGCACCCCTTACGCATTATATAATTATACTTTATTTAGTTCTCTCCCCCTCTCTTGCCCCCAACACTCCTCGCTCTCTCTCTCTCTCTCTCTCATTTTTTATTGTACTTTATTTAGTTCTCTTATTTAGTTCTCTTGCTCCCCAACCCCCCCCCCCCCGCTCTCTCTCTCTCTCTCTCCTCTCGCTCTCTCTCTCTCTCTCTCTCTCTCTCTCTCTCTCTCTCTCTCTCTCTCTCTCTCTCTCTCTCTCTCTCTCTCTCTCTCTCTCTCTCTCTCTCTATCTCTATCTCTCTCTCTCTTTTTCTCTCTCTCTCACTCTCTCTCTCTCTCTCTCTCTCTCTTTCTCTCTGTCTATGTCTCTCTCTCCCTCTCTTTCTCTCTCTGCTATTGGCACGCCTGGTTGTGATGAAGCCGAGACCCAAGGTCGACAGAGCATCCTAGACCACGCCACCACTCCCCTTATTCATGGCTCACACATGACGGGTTTACGTGCCTCTAGTAAAAAACAAAAAACAAAAAAAAACACATACAATAATTATTGTGTGTGTATAAACTGGCAGAAAAGCAAAGACCTTTAGAGCATTGATTGTGGTAAGACGTGGCAAGCACTTCCACAGCTTATCGCGATACGTGTTGTGAACTGCCTGTGCAGTGAAGCAGACCTGGGCACCTCCTTGGTTTATTTTTATCCGAGAGATCACGTATACGGTACCTTGAGCCTGGTTGATGACAAGCAAGGTCCACGTGTACCCACATCTGCTAATAAGTAGTTTTTGGTGGGGTTCCTTTTCCTCATTTTTCTAATTTCTACCTTTTAAAAGTTATCGAAGTTGACCATCCCAAATCCTTGATATTTGAAATGGATGCTTGTTTCAACTGTACAGCAAGCGCAGTGCATGCATCCAGAACTCGCAAAGGACGTAATACGCCCAACCAAACCGGCTTCTGGATATCTTTAGAATCTGGTTGAAATGATTGTTTTAGCCTCTCAGGAATGCCGTCCATTTCTGATACAGTCAGACCTCTCTTATCCGGATCCCTCGCTATCCGGAAGAAAATAGCTGGTTACTGTAAAAGCCATGTATATAACGAAGTGCGAGTTAACGAGGAGAAATCTGTCGTTAAAATAGACATCGTTATACAGAAATTTATCCGGATCCCTCGCTATCCGGTAGAAAATAGCTGGTTACTGTAAAAATAAAAAAAAGGTAAAAGCCATGCATATAACGAAATGCGAGTTAACGAGGAGAAATCTGTCGTTAAAATAGAAATCGTTATACCGAAATCGATACATATACTGTCCTATTGAGCGTTGAGAATAAGTGAGAATCGATACCTTTGGTACACGTAAACCAGTCAATTTTGGGAAAGCGTACTCTGCTTATAGTGGGACAAGGGGAAATGCCCTCGGAATATGCAGCACTCGAGTTTGGTACTTTGAAGCTCTTTAACGAGATGTATAATACATGGCGTTCTGGCACTCCTCAAGAATTTGTGAATGTGGCTGGACATACACATGTACAAGTATAGTGGTGTTGTCGGGACTGGTACAGGGCACCAGTGTTACACTTTGGGTTGGATTTCAGTGAGCGCAACTGTAACCGCTGGTTTCATTCCTTCCAGAGTTTCTGTAACATAGTAACGGATGTTATGGCTGATTTCTACAGTACGCATTTGTTATAACCCTTCCTCTTCTCAATATATATGTAATAATTTCGCAGATATATTCCCAGTAAACCATGAACGGAGACCCCCTCGAATTAGGCCTCGGCCTTTGGGGAATCCATAAATTTAAAAAAAACTGTTTTCCAGTCTGTTAAGCCAAGCTCGTCTTGTGTTATGCATCCAGGCCATGCGGTTGGTCCTGGCATGGATCGCCTTCTGTGTTATCACTCCTCTATGCATGGGGCAAGCACCGGCAGTGACAGGTAAGCAAATTCATTATCTATTTTCCTTTTAGACCATCACCTGTCATATGCATGCAGTTCGTGGCTTTTTGATCGGTTCCAAATCCGCAGCGTCCATTAGACTTGCAATGACTGATCGGTCAAAACCGAATCTAAATGCATTCAGTTCATTATCTCTGGTATCTGCCTAGACCCAAGGGAACACTAAACCAAATATTTTGCAGCTGCATTCTACATTTGAGAAGTATTGATACTTGACCAGTTCACATAGTAGAATATTGGGGAACTTTTATACGAAAAAAATCGATTTGCTTTGTTTCTGATCTCAGGTCCTCTGACTCATCAACTCTGTTCAAAAACAATACAAAAGAGATCTGTTTGCTTTGCTCAAACAGGGCAGCCTTATACAACAGAACACAAGCGGCTTGGGGCACCTTGAATTTCTGCACTAAACGAGCATAACAAAAAGCATAGAAAAAAATAAAAACCAATTTGCTCCGCCAAAACACTCAACGCAAAAGAAGGGTTTCGCACCATTTCACGCCACTTCCTGAAAACGATCTCTCAGCTTCATTGTTTTTGGCTGAGGATGGGCCCAGCCAAAAATTTGGACAGAATCTATATTTTATTTTGGAATTTGTAATCGAGAGGGCAAGAGAGGCAAGAGTACATAACCCCCCAGAGTGTGCAACGCCTGATCCAGCTCTGAATAGGGTCTTGGTCGAGCGGAATCGGATCTTCTGATGTCATAATACCGTAAACATCTGAGGGGAACCCGGGGAGTCGCGGGTACTCTTGGATCAAAAACAATGGTGCCCTGCCTCGAGACCGGCCTTGCGCTGGTGTGAAGTGTACGCATGACATCAGAAGATCCGATTCCGCTCAACCAAGACCCTATGCAGAGCTGGATCGGCGTTGCACACTCTGGGGGGGGGGGGGGTTCTGTACTCTTGATACAGGTCAGCCCCCCCCCCCCCAAAATCCCGGGAAATCAAAAATACTCCCATGACCCCGGGGATTTCAAGCAAACTCCTGGAAAAGTCACATTTTTGTCTGATCTAGGTTGTTCCTGAAAACTCCAGGAACTCACCTCCAATGTCCCAGTGTTTTTCACAAATATGTACAGTGTGCACTCGCACTTCAAACTGTGCATGGCACTTTCAAGACCTGGCCAGCCTAGCCTGAATAATCTGCACCGGCAGGCGTGCAGACTGATCAAACTGCACTGTAGGGTCGAACTGTGGTCTATCCAGAGTCTAGAATTGCTGTGCCGTCGAACATTTTTCGGAGGAAAAAGCTCTTTTTCACTTGTTTTGTGCCATCAAGTTATTAACGTATGTCCGCACCTTTAAAGCCATGGAGGTATTTTCGATTATAAAGCCCGTCTCAGTTATAACGCCATGGGCTCCATAAATGAAATGACATTTGAAGTAGGTTTTATAAAAATGAAGAAATAAGTACTTTACTAACAAACTTACAGCCCAACAGGAATGGCGAACAAGTAGATTTAGAACTCGGATGGTGAGCCAATAATAAATGTTGTTGCACTTTCTGACTGTGTAATATCTGGTGACAGTGATGGAGAGTTACTCTTAACTCATATCCATAATTATGTCCTCTTCCTTTCTACAAGTAGATTTAGATTGAAATTTTTGTGTGGACTTTGACTTTAATGGTACACTCAGACGTCTCTTATCCGGGCACCTTGGGACCGGGCACTGCCCGTATCTCAGATTTGCCCGTATCTCAGGATAACTCATCTACCATGTATCATTATCATTTTCGAAGACGTTTTCTTGGCGCATATTGCACCTGTTCAGGTTACAAAAATAATCCATGGATAAAAATGTGTGGATTACACCGGTTGGGAGTGACAAATAAGCACTTGTGCATTCGGAAGAAAAGTTCAACCCCCCAAATTCGAAGCATGTTTGCCATAGGAACTCAAGCTGAGGGTGGCCGGTAGAGAGACGTGCCCGTATCTGAGGCGTCCGGATAAGAGGCGTTTGAGTGTATGACGTAGTGGGTGGGTCATTTGACATCTAAAATAGCTAAGAAAGCAGTTGTGTTTCGAATATAAGGCCATGGCTTTTAAAGGGGAACTGTCACCAAAAAATTTCTTTGTCTTATCTTGTAGTTCCTTGGCTCCTGATCACGATGGTGGTATCCGTTTTTCTCTGCGATGGCTGGAAGTGGGTGAAAACTTGAAAAGAAGGTGCCCAAAATTGTCCCGAAGTACCGAGTGACGTCACGCCGGACTTGACCTCCACGCGTACATTCGTCGTCAAAAACGAAATCCAGCCCGTGTGCTCGTCGATCGAGCTAGCTGTTCCAATGTACGGTGCACGTGTGCCTTTTGAACTGTAACACAGATGGGTACGTCGTACCGAAGGAGAATGCCAAAGAGGCAGAGACCCACGTGCAGCTACACAGCCAAATCAAAATAAAAAGCAGCTGAGCTTTCACCTTTTTGACTTCTTCCGCGAGGTTTTATTTTGTGAGCACGGAAGTACGTCGTTGTTTTGAACTTTTCGTGTGAGGAACAACACGATGATGAGTGCGTATGCAGAAAACAGTACTCCTCCGGCCGGCGATAACACCACCAACCCGAGCCCCAAAGGAACGCAATGTAGTTACGTGAAGGCGATTCATCTGGCAATGTTGCTCAAGATGCAGATGACGAACTCCGACGTCTTTCATTTCAGAGCCGGGTGGGCAACATAGCCACCTTCGATACAACGACATCATTTTCAAGTACGAGGTATGTGTGTCACACTAACAGCAAACAAACATCCTTCCACTCCTTCGTAATCACAAAATTAGTAAAACAAAGAGCTGGAGCTTCGTGGAGGAAGTACCAGTGCGACAAACTGCAGTCGACTTTTGTTTATTTTGTCCCTTTTTGGCGTTCTCATTGTGTACAAAGTACACATCGAGTGTCCGAGTTCAGAAGGCAAGCGTGCACCGTACATCGAACAGTTGGCTCGATCGACGAGCACACGGGCTGGACTTCGTTTTTGACGATGAAAGTACGCGTGGAGGTCAAGTCCGGCGTGACGTCACTCGGTACTTCGGGACAATTTTGGGCACCTTCTTTTCAAGTTTTCACCCACTTCCAGTCATCGCAGAGAAAAACGAATAACACCATCGTGATCAGGAGCCAAAGAGCTACAAGATAAGACAAAGAAATTTTTTGGTGACAGTTCCCCTTTAAAGGCGCTGACGAGAGAGAAACCCAGGGATTCTGCATGTCTTGTCAAGGGGGTGAGATTTTGATGGTTGGTCAGTATGTGCGCACCCTGAGAAAAATGATGTGTACTTGATTTACCTGTCTTCTTTCTGCCTCTTGTGCTGCCGTTCTCTTACAGATATTGATGAATGTGTCACTGGAAGCCATGTTTGCCATGCCAACAGTACATGTCAGAACACAATTGGCTCATACAATTGCTCTTGTCATTCTGGATTCACTGGCGATGGAAAAAACTGTACAGGTAGAGTAGTTTTCTCTAACGTTTGTTCCTAATCGACCAGACGCAACGACTGCCACAAATTCCATTCCTAGGTTTTTGAGACTGCCGTAAAAGTCCGTAAAAAAGTACCTTCCCTAAATGAATACTCTTTTCACCCTTTTGACTCTGTCTCTCGAAGACAACATCAGCCCCATCAGCATTCAACCCACAAAGATGTACCGGTATGGTTTGCACATGCAGCGCATAGCATGTACATCGACACACAAATGACTTCTCCATGTTACAAAAGTCAGGTCCAAAAGTTAGTTCGTGCCCGAAAGTTAGTATGTGTGTGGCCACTAAATTCGAAAGTAAGTACTTGGTTCGCGTCAGCAATATTGTCAATATTGTCAAATCTTTCAGCTTTGCTTTTATGTCGCCAATGCTCACTTCGCAGCCCATTTCATCCCAATTTTGGTTATTAACCTTTTGAACCCAGGCCCATTGAAAACCTCTGCCACGCAGTAAAAATCTAAATTCACTCTATGTGAGCAAACTTGACTTCAAACGATTCTTTCATGTATCCTGATCACAGAACTGTTTTTGTTTTGGAAATACAACAACGATTACAAAAGTTATGACTGTTTTCAGAAAGGTAGTTTTACGGGAAATTGGTATTTTGAAATGTATGCACGCGCATGTAACTCCAGTTCAAACTCACGGAGCGACTCGCTTTTTTTACTGTACTCGTATATCCTAGGAGTCCTCTGTGCAGCGGGTACAGCTTGACGCCACGCCACGGAAGAAACGCGGAATCGATGTAGTTCCGTACTGACTCGTGACGTTCTAGAACGTCACGTGTGTCACGGTGGCCGTGGTCATGACGTGTCAGAATGTCATGCGTGCTCAAACGGTTAACCCTTTAAGAGCCGCCCCATACTTGAATGCGTCGTAAACGACGCATTCAAATGCGAAACTTCAAAAGATCGTAACTCAGTCCAATCTCGCTCAAATCCAGTGATCGAAATATCCAGGGCGAAGAGAAAACTCTCACCTGTCGGGAGAAACAATCCGCGAAGCGCTGCGAGCTACGGTTCCTGAGATAAATCACTCGTAAGTTGAGCCGCGATCGCGGCAATTTCAAAAGCGCGCAGTGCGACTTTAGTATTGAGAATTTTGAGACTTTTCGTCACGCTGGTTTACTCGAATTTGCACGGGTTTCACTGTTGATATTGTCAAGAGTACACAGCGAAAAAATTGGAACTCCACGATCGAGCAAAATGAAATATCTGGAGCGGGACGCAATTGGACGCATTTGGGGCATTTTTCGTACTGTCGCTGCGATCTAGCGCTGGATAGACGGTGTGCTGGTGATCATGATCGACCCCATTCTCTTCCTCTCGCGGAGACCTTTCCAGGAAGCCCTAGATTGTGAGGATTGAGTGAGTAGAACTGAAGCTATGATCCAAGGAACACGAAAAAATGCAGAATTTTGAAATTTTCCTGTGGCTCTTAAAGGGTTAACTTAGTTTGCTAGTACAGATTGAATCCTGATAATTTGAACACCAAAATGCCGGGGAAAACCCTCTAATTTTCCGGACATTCTAATTATCCAAACATGTACCCACAACACCTTATGTATGTCAAAATGCTCACATTCACACGCCGAATTGCACTACGCATCATAGGCACACATTTACACTGTTTAGTGGACACTAAACTGGCTGCACATGCAAACCAAACTGATTTGCAGAAAATAAAGTGAACTTTGAATTATGGTTTGTTAACTTCGAGTTATCAGCATAAATCCCACACATTTTCTATGTAGGTGGATACCGTGGGACTTCTAATTAAGGTGGCTCGTGCCATCCTTCTGCGCTGGTTTGGAGTAGAATTATTATGGAATATTATTACTTTTTGCCCCTCGTGGGTTCGAACCTTCCCGGAAAAACCTTTTTTCTTCTTTTTCGCCAGTGGTTTGACAAAAATAGCTTCTATAATCGACTCAAAAGGTATGTTCAGGTGGCTACAGAAACATGAAACGTGGCAGGCACTTTTTCATCAATCAAAGGAACACCTTTACCTAATTTAAAGGAAATCCATTTAGCATGTTCGATGTACAGTAATATGTAAATTTACCCCCAAATTGATAGCACTTGACAAAGTATGCTTCCGGTAGCTTCAGGGGGCTATAACTTTGCAGACTCTTTCCATAACTATCTAAGTATAGCAAAAAATATAAAATTTGAATGAAATCTATCGTGCCATTATGATTGACTATAATGTTTTGGTCAATTGCACACGTCAGTCAAAATTGGATTCAGTAAACTGTGCTCCCAGGCACTTCACATTGATTCAATTACAAAAAAATAATATAATTAAATGTTTAGCATATGAACCATATACTGTATTTCCTTGAACACTCGCCGCCCCTTGATTACCAGCCGCCCCTTTAATAAGCGCCACCAGTTTATTTGAACTGAGGGTTATTCGTACACAAGTGTAGAGCAGTTCACAGTTTATACGCAATTTCACAGCTACGAGATGACCTTCAGCTACGATGTCATACTCCTTCACATGCAGCTAGTGCTGCTCTCTGTTCGGACAAAGGACTCAAAGGCGATCTAAAGAAGGGAACAAATCGAACACGCCATGATGATGACCTCTAGCTCTCACAACATAACGAAGAGCAAGATGAGTCATTTTATCGACCACCAAAAAAGAAAATGGTACGCGAACAAAGTAAACGGATCAAATGTGAAGACGCACTGAGGATTGTCAAATCTACAAAACCAAGAACTCAGGTCGGAGAACTTGTCTGGTGACGTCTAGGAGAAAGTGGACACTGACGCTGTGAAAGAAACGAACGCAGAAAGAGAGAAATCAAACGGGAGAGAACAAAACTTGCGCGTCCTTTTCTATTATTGCATCCAATATTGTCAGCGTCGACGTCTTCTTGAAGCCCCTCTACTTCATCCTCGTCGGACTACTGCTGCTGAACATGCAACTAACTTGCTAGTCGAGCCTCAAGCTCCCTCGCCATGATATTCTTTGCAGTGCCACAGGAAAAGAAAAAAAGATGCACTAGCCTATAGTGTAGCTGGACAACAAAGGTTCAGCAGTGCACATCGCAGGTGAACTCTACGCATACAGCACGCACATTGTGATGTACAACTATTTTTCAGGGCTGCACCCGTTTTGCTAGTTTTGAATACAGGCCGCGGCGGTTGTTCAAGGAAATACGGTAGCTGGCTGTACTTCTTGAAGAAATGAAGAAAATCTAATGGGCCAATTTCGGGAAGCAGTCCGCGGAGTACCGATATCCGCGTTCCAAACCGAATGATATTGTTAGTATGGGCAGCCAAGAACCCTGAAAAGAAAGCCCAGCCACCCTATTTGGCTTGGCTTGACTGCCGAAATTACCACTCAGATACCTGAAAAGAAAATTACAACTTTTAGTCTGAACAATACAACAGTAGAGGCAAATCCTGGGATGTGTTTTTGTGCAAAAGGCTACAAAATACCAGATATTTTAAATCGGGTTTTAACTATGAAGACAATGTCATGTTTCAATCCTTCCCATTTTTTCGGGACCGACACTATTCTGATAGTAGTGCTGTGCAATTGTGAACAAAATCGATCGGGCCGTTTTTATTTCCGATTTGGGTATGAGCCACCTTAACCAGACATACCCAGTTCGAGGTTCTAATTATCAGAAATTGTTATGTGGAAATCATATTGACAGAAATCGGTCCCGGAAGAAACTTCTAATTAAGCAGTATGTTCTAATTAAGCAACATTCGAATTATCAGGATTTCACCTGTACTTGAAAGGTCTGACTAGATTTTGAGTGCATTTCGAGAGCGACGGATGGGCGATTCTGATTGATACAGCGCCGCATCAAAATAGAATATCTTTTCACACTGTGCAGGCAAGAGCAGCGCAGCCCACAAGAAAGTAATCGGCTACTCGGAATCCGTTCCATTTTGCAACTGCTGAGATCGCTCACTCCAGGTATCGTTCGCCAAGCTGAGATCGCAGTTCCCTCACCTCCAGCTCAACACTCGGAGTATCCAGCGCATCGTGGAGATTTGCAAGTATGCGTACTGTACGCATCGTCGTCTTTCAAAATCAAATCTTATCGATTTGAACCACACAGGCAGGCGTGCTGCCCACACGGCTAAGTCCTACAGAGAAGGCGACCGTCACGATCGACTTCCCTTTAGAAAATAGCCAGGCAGCGGAGAGGAAGAGAGATGAGCTTGCGACAGCAAGAGAGTTGATCCCGAGCAAAAGTGTTTGTCACCAGCGCCGAGAGCAGCGATGAGGAGGACCAGAAAAATTATGATCCCTTCCTTGGACAATAAATTCCTCATGGCTAGTTGTCATTCTATACCTTGCCTTCCATCGTACCAAGTTTTATCACCTCAAGTGCACCTGTTGATGTCCAAAGTCAAGGTCAAATAGTCGAAAGATAGCGACAATATTGCTGATGCGGACCAAGTATGTACATTGTATGTGCTACTTAGTAACAGACTTTTATGCCCAAATACCAGTAAGACATACCAACAGGAAAGGGTAAAGACATGCTGACGCATTCGATAACTACACATGTTGTACAACACTTTCTTTCATCTTCTCATTATTGTTTTTTACATGTAAGACAGTTCTGTGACAGTTCCGGGTGAGAAGACAGATATTGCCCATGCGTGCCTGCAGTGAACTAAATAAAACAAACAAAGTTCTTTGCGGTTGTGACTGGTGTTCCGGCGAGTATGTGGACAACTGCAAAGAATAAAACGTATTTGGGCCTTTTGTAGCTAGCAAGGTCCTACAGAATGGTATTATATTCATGGAAAAAGGAAAAGTCTGAAGAACAGGAATGTCTTGTGTTAAAAACATGTATTTTTGCCTCCGTCCCCTAGACTGTCCACAGATTTATTTATTTCTTTTTCTTTTATTTCACCGTCCAATGGCAGAAGCCAATGCAAAGGAGGGGACATTAGCCAGCCATGGCAAGAGAAGAAAAAGAAAGAAAGAAGGAAAGAATATGATAATCGGAAGAAAAGAATGCATCAGCGGGGTGACATTTATCACTATGTTGACCATGGTGGAAATAGATGGTCTGTGTTAGGATGATGCCTGTGCAGTTCACAAGAGAGGCAGCACCCATTCCAACTACAAGGCAGTGGGTCAGGCTAGAGCTAATCAGGCTGGTAGTTGGCTCCTTCTCACATTTTCGTTTGTGTGTGTGTGTGTGCCTGTGTGTGTGTGTGTGCGTGTGCGTGTGTACGAGCATGTATGTGTGTTATTTTGTGGCAGATATCAACGAGTGTCTTCTGCCCTCACCACCCTGTGACTATAAAAGGTGCATCAATGAGATGGGAAACTATACATGCTGCCAACTCGGGTATAGAGCCAATAGGACAATTCCAGGGATCGAAGAATGTACAAGTTAGTACTGTTGATCTTCATGCAGCTTTATAGTACTGTCGGGCGCCGAAGAACGGACCGTCGAAGAACGGACCGTCGAAGAACGGACCGTCGAAGAACGACCAGGCTAGATTTTCACAATTTTTTAAGACAGAGATGGGCTGTATGTTTTGCAGATAAGAACGGAAACCGTAATGTACACTATTCTGTACACTCAGACGTATAACTCTGCATAATGGACCCATTGCGCAATGACGTAAAAACACTCTTCACAGCCAAATATGGAATGCATGCGTAATGCTTGTGAGTATGCATGCTGGGATCAGGAGTGCACTGTTCAACACCCCAGACGACCCCCCCCCCCCCCCCCCCCCAGGTAGGCCTTGGCGGATAATGCCGGCAGAAAAATTGGCAGAATTCGGTACTTTTTCTGGTAAGTTTCATGCATGTTTGGTATGTGGATAAAGAAATGGAGCAGAATTCGAGGAATTGCCCTCCATAAGGTTTGTATGGTTCTGCCAATTTCGGTGCAAAAAAAGCAGAATCTGCCACCTTTTCGAGCATTATCCGCCAAGGCCTACCCCCAGGTGGCTGTGAAGGGTGTTTATGGTACAAATTACGTCATTGCGCAATGGGTCAAGTGTACAAGTCGGTACCATCAAATAAAAACGAAACTGCTGTATTCGCTAAAAGTAAGAACGGGCTAGGCTAGAACCAAGAGTACATAATCCCCCAGAGTGTGCAACTCCACTATGGGTGCTGTCCCGACAGAATATCAAGTGGACGTCATTTTGATGATGCAATGCGCACTGTACACGGACTATCAGACGAATCCGGAACCTGTGGTTGACCGAAGCCGATCGATCCTGTACTAACTATTGCAAAGAAAAACGTGTGATGCGTTGACACCCGTACACAACTTGAAATTCTGTCGGGACAGCAGGGTATGTGAGAGTTGCACACTCTGGGGGTTATGTACTCTTGCTAGACCTCTGACCAACTAGTTCTTTGGCACCCAGCAGTGCTGTAGTTATTGGCCGCAACAGGAATTCCACACAGACGAGTTATTCCGGATGGATTATTTGAATTGACACCGAAGGCACCTCCTGTGTTTACATCCAGTTTAAAGTTTGAGAGAACAATCAATGTATCAAAATAGAGAATGAAGTATGCGTTTGCCGGGGGGGGGGGTGCTTCCCCCCCCCTCCCCAGCGCTGGGTGACAGCAAGCGCTGACAGACCGAATAAGGGGAAATACTACAGCGGATTACGAAGATCAAACAACAAGTCCAGTAGGTCATATCATGCGATTGCACTCAGTCTGTCATAGTGAGAACTAGAGGTGAAACGACTGAGTCGATATGTCGATAGGCCAGTTGATAAGGTTGAGTCGATAGAAGGAAAACCCCTTATCAACTTGCACATATGTGATGATCACAAGGCAGAGCTACAGTCTCGCTGGCCATATCTTTCGTTTGGCCCTAACTGCTCCTCCAAAATTGGCCCCAACTGCTCCTCCACAATTGGCAGTGGATATGTATCGATATGTATCTTTGCTTGGCCAACGACGAGGGCACTGAACGTTTCAGGGGTCGACCTCGGACGACTTTGGTAACGGTCTTGCAGACGGAACTGTCGTCATGGCATGGACTTACCCTCCACCAGCCGCTAGATGCTGACACAGTCCGCACAATGGCAGCGGACCGACAGGCATGGCGTGGAGCCCGCCCCACCTAGCAGGACTGATTCTCGTGATCCACGTGATTCCGCCAGACATGTTGTATGCATATTCTATTTTATTCCCGTAGCTATGCAGAAGACGTTACTTCAGTAATGTCTGGCGCTAGCCAGGGTCCACACAGCTTTAATCCGGTGTTTGTGTGTTTGTGTCACACCTGTCCCGTACCGTACCATCAAACACAGCTGGCCACATACAGCTGGCCGCACTATTCAAATAGGGCTTTCAAACGCAAGATCATAACGTGAAGCAACTTGGAAGAATGAGTATGAATGCGAAGTGTATGGGGGAATGCATGTAGGGCGATAGTGCGGGTTCGAATCCCAGGTGTTAAATGCCTGAAAAATAGGAAAATTGAAAATTTTATAACATCCCTATTCTTTTTTTAGCCGTCATCAAGGCGGTAGATGGTGTCGTATTACCCTGTCCCGTACCTGTCCCGTACCGTACAATCAAAGACGGCTGGCCACAATGCATATTCAAATAGGGCTTTCAAATACAAGATCATAACGTGAAGCAACTTGGAAGAATTAGTATGTATGCGAAGTGTATCGGGAGATGCATGCAGGACGATAGTGCGGGTTCGAATCCCAGATTATGTCTAAAAACAAAAAGTAGAAAATTATAAGAATTTATAACATTCTTATGCTTTTTTTGTCTAGGTCATCAAGGCAAAAAAACATAGCGTAGGGCCCTGAGCTTCAAAGCTCTCTCGTTTTATACTTTGGATGAAGTTTTCCAGAAGTCCTATTGGTATTGTTGCTGCCGGCTTTTGTTGACGTCACTTCTGTCATTTCATTGTATCGTATTACTCTTCAGACATCACTCCTGAATGGCATAAGCGAAAGTGGCACCCCGCCACCTACGCGGACATACTTTTTAATAATAATAATAAATAATATGTGAAAAAGATACCGTGTTTTTCGGAGTATAGTGCGCACCTTTGTATAACGCGCACCTCCAATCTTCATTGGGGGTGCGCACTTCAATCTTCGTTGAAGTACATGCATTTCATATTCGGAGCATAGTGCACGCCTGCGATTTAGGGCCTAAAATAGCACATCTAACGTGCGCACTATACTCCGGAAAATACGGTACATAACATGGCCATAAGTACAATGTGATTCATGCACTTGTCCTGCAAGTGTCCTACTGCACAGTAGACTGGTCACATGAATCCGAGTGCAAGAACCGTTCAAAACCGGCACGCTGCATGGGTCCGTTTTAACGTTGAAATCTACAATTTGCTCATATAAGACACCCTTCGCAGTCCGTGCGCCAGATTCAAAATATCGCACTCTATCCGTGTTTTTTATTTTCCAGAGTCAGTGGACTTTGAACTTTTTGAGCTATTTCTTGAGAATTGTTAGTTTCTAGTCATTGCAAGGTGGGCCTTACAAGGCCCTTTTTCGTTCGAGTTCAGACCTGACACGCCGTCCATCGCCGGATAAGGCAAACTTCTATCCTCAGTTTCGAACGTTTTCTCGCGGGGTGCTTCTGTCCCATGCAGCATCACGTCTTCTCCGACTGTCGAAATTTGAATTTTTCTTTACGCAGGACTTTAGCTTAGTGCCGTCAAGTATTCCAGGCACGCGTAGTAACACCCACTACAACATCCAGAAGAACAAGCCTTAGTCTTTTAGTATGTGGTCTCTCGCCGGTGTCCAAGACCAAATAACACCACAACGACCAATTTTCTAACCTCTGTTTTTCTCGCTATTTACATGTATATGGAGGACAGCTGGAAACATGTAGCACTCACAATGAACACATCAGGACGGTGTAATAATGCCACTCAGCTACACCCTGGGCGTGTATGCATTCCTGTCTGCGAGTTATGCCAAGCAACTCGTCTGGACACCAGTGTACACATCCAACAAATGCAGAATATTGGAATATTTTGGTAAAATAGTGAACGGCGAAAGACAAAAACCCAAATTGCAGCCATCTACAGACTAATATCCACATACGCTGGCTGTGTAAAGGAGTGTCAATGAGAATCTTCATTGCGTTACTACAGAAGTGTATGAAACGAAACGTAGCGGACAAGCTCAAAAGTGCACGCCGAGCCAATATAGGCGGCATTGCAGCACATGTAAGACGGTTATGGACAAACAGGCACAGATGAAGTGTTCCCACTATGAAACGGTCTCAGCAGTTCCAAGGAGTAAGAACATGACAATAGCATAGAATGATGTCTTTTGCAAGAAGTGCTACGAGGCACACCTAGAATAGATAATAGTTGACAGCAGTGCAAGCATTGACAACAAAGCTATTACAGCTGATCGCTTGTCACACTCAGATCTGCGATAATCCTCTGGCTGAGCTAACAGCAGTACTGGGAGAACACATGGATGTTTGCACACTAGCACAAAGAAGCGAGTCATTCCCTTTCTGCGGAAAGGCTGCAATACCCAAGGTCCTCTTCGTGCTGTTCTCACACAATGCCAAGACGCGTTAATACCCAAGGTCCTCTTCGTGCTGTTCTCACACAATGCCAAGACGCGTTGGAGCACTATCTACCTGAGAAGACACACAGATCGCACAAGATAAGGCAGCATTTTAACGACAGTAGGAATAATGCATGAAACACAGAAGGTAATTCAATGGAAAAAGTGCTCCGCTCTTTATACACTACACTTTTCCAATGTTATACAGATAATACACTGAACTCCATGGAAGTGGATTTGGTTGTCCCTATAAGTATAATTGCAGTGGGTGCTGCTTCACTTGAACCATATTTTGGTTCCAGTGAAGCAGCACTCACTGCAATAATTTGCAGAAAAAATTCTCAATCGCATCGTCGCGCATCGCGTCGCAGAAGTGATATCATGCATCGCGCTTTAGAATGTTGGCATGGCTGGGCATCACTGCCGGTAGTTCTGCCAAGAGGACGTAACCCTGATTATTAACCCCTGGTGGATCGGTTACACACAGAAACGCAGCAGGTTCGAGGCAGTGTCTGCATGCGATACACCATGCACACAAACCTTCATAAGGCTCTTATGAGAAAAAGCGCGCTTTCAATCTGAAAACCACAGCAGATCGTTGCGCACTGCCCCAGCCGGTACCCCAGTTTGTCGCTACGTAATGTGGGCAGCAAGCCCCTTCAGACCCCTCGTGCAAAGTTGCATGCTCTTGCGGCTATGGACTCTTGGTTCAGCCACCAAAATATGAATGCAGTGGAGCTGCGTCAGCGGCGTACATGAAACGAGACAGCATTCGGTTCGTTTTAATCGATAATATCGACAGAGAATATATTATTACAATGACACCAAGAGAAGCTTTGATGGCAATTAAGGCCAGCATGTCCATCCGCAGCCATGCAGCAGCAGCAACGAGGGTACATCTCAAGAGAATACAACTACAAGTCCATACCCACCAAAATGTCATGCAAATTTTACAATATACAGAGTGTCAAGACATACAAATTTCGCACTTTCGGATTCCTCAACAGTACCATCCTAAGCACAGGCACACTATACGGGAAGAGAACACATTTATTTATGATATCGTATTCCTTTGGATGCTTCTTTCTTCTTGTTGTGCTATTTTCAACAAGGCAACACTTGTGCTCGTAAAAATACTAAAAAACAATTTTGAGATTCCACTTAGTGCCATCGGTTATTCCAGGCAGGAATGCTCAAACCATTATCATCTCACTACACAACAATATGTACTTACTAAGATCCGCCATGAGAGCTTGGTGTCCGCAGCTCTTGGAAAGCTCAGCTCGTCTACTTCTCGATGCCAGTCGGCGAAACCAGCAAATCGTGGAGAGCAGTTTCTTCCATAAATAAAGCCCAAGATGGCGTTTGCGATTCAAATTTTCTACTCGGCGTCAAAGCACAACATTGAACTCATCATCTTCCATTGCTGCAAAGGCAAAGGAGCGGAGACAGGCCGCGAGAAAGGCCAAAACAATTGCCAAATTTCTCCCCCAACTGCCATTGTCGTCATCATCTTCACCAACACAGTTTTGTGCAGACTTTTTCCCGCGAGATCGGACCCAGGAAAATGAAAACGGCCCACTCAGTGGCCTGGCGCACGGACTGTTAGCAAACAATGGTAACGCTATTTTTTACGGTACTCGTACCTTGATCACCCAAATAGCGTTGAAGCTGCAGCGTATAAACGTTATGGGGGCTGATTTATCGTTGTGACCAACGGTACGTGTTTTAGCCAAATATTGCATAGTCCGTACGCATTTCACCTTGTATCGCGTACATGGTGACAAAAATGGTTGTACCTCGCGAAATCAAAGCTATTCTCGTGGCAACAGCGTACTAAAAATAGCGTGCATTTTGCTAAAGGTCGAGCCCAAATCACGGTATTTTCCCCCTTACGATAATACCGTTACAACATAACGTTTTTTGCTAAGGGTGTCTAATGTGCTTTGGTTCGCTTGTGTGTGTGTGTGTGTGTGTGTGTGTGTGTGTGTGTGTGTGTGTGTGTGTGTGTGCCCATGCATGTGCATGTATGCGCAATTATGCTATGCTTGCGTTCATGTGTGAGAGCAATGTCAATCGACAACCAGTCTATTGTCGGTAGATAGCATTGGTTCTAGTCTCAAATAATTTAAAATGAAGTTGGGTCCTGAGGTGCCCCTGGTAGAAGCGCAGCCAGATGAGGGCCAGGAGATTGGAGCGGACGACTTCACTGGTCCGAGTACGAGGATCCCGAAATTCTCAATACGCCGTGAGGCATATGGTCAGAACAGTTTTGTCTAGACAAGCTGACACGAAGTCGGGGTGATGTGTAACGCATGTCAAAGGGCTGCCAATGCTAACAGCTGCAGCGCTCTCTTGACAGCAAAGGTAATCGACTGCCCTCTGCATCACCACACTTGGCCCTCCCTGGCTTCGTATATTGACTTTTGGGGTCTAGTTTTCGCGATTCCCCATTCCTTGGGGGCCATGCAAGTCCCCCATGAAGAGAACACACCACCGAAATTTATCATGACAACGAGAGAGCTTGGAAGCTCAGGACCCTACGCTATGCTTTTTTGCCTTGATGACCTAGACAAAAAAGCATAGGGATGTTATAAATCCTTTAAAAATTTCCTTTTTTTTAAAGACATAACCTGGGATTCGAACCCGCACTATCGCGCGCCCTGCATGCATCCCCCTATAAATTTTCAATTCTCCTTTTTTTCAGGCATATCCTGGGATTCGAACCCGCACTATCGCCCTACATGCATTCCCCCATACACTTCGCATTCATACCCATTCTTCCAAGTTGTTTCACATTGTGATCTTGCATTTGAAAGCCCTATTTGAATATGCATTGTGGCCAGCCGTCTTTGATGGCACGGTACGGTAGTGGATAGGTACGGGACAGGTACGATCGAGGGTAATACGACACCGTCTCCCGTACCGTACCGTGCCATCAAACACAGCTGGCCACATACAGCTGCCCGCAATACTCAAATAGGGCTTTCAAACGCAAGATAATAACGTAAAGCAACTTGGAAGAATGGGTATGAATGCGGAGTGTATGGGGGAATGCATGTAGGGCGATAGTCCGGGTTCGAATCCAAGGATATGCCTGAAAAAAAGGAGAGTTGAAAAATTTATAACATCCTATGCTTTTTTGCCGTCAGATACGGATAGCGCCAGGCGTGAAACAAACAAACACACAAACACACAAACAAACACCAAACGAGAGAGCTTGGAAGCTCAGGGCCCTACGCTATGCTTTTATGCTTTTTTGCCTAGCTCATCGTACATGTTATAAGAACTGATTGAATTGTCTTTTTCCGTTGATTGGACACATCACTGTATTGCAAAAACGTTTCAATCGGTTTGAATATTATGAGTTAGGCAAAAGTATTTGCAGAATTTATTGCGGATTGTTGTTTCTCTAATAATCATCTACTTTTGTTTTGCTCCTTCTTTAATTTTTATCTCCTTATATTGTAAGAAGTAGTGGTTGCGACTTCGGCGATGCATTGTAAGAAAGGGTTTGCTTCCCACACCGGAGCTCGCGCTATTCCGCCGACTTTACTTGACACTTGACTGACTCACGACTGCCATCCAGAGCACACGAGAAGTCAATCGAACCTCGACTCGGCAAACCTGCAAGAAAGCACCACTCCCTGCTCAATACACAGTGTTTCGGGGAATTCACCCCTCATCAGTTGAGCTTGAGTAGGCTGAGGAAGATTGTGCCTGAAGAGCACCACTTATATAGTACTCTCCAGGCACAAACATCACCAGGGATACAAACTTACAGAGACGCTCCATTTCCAGCGCGACAAACACCTCGTGAACACCAGATAGCAGCGTGAGTCAGTGTCGCTCCTGGCCGGTGAGACAGACGTCGAGGACCCTCGGTCATTCGCAACGCTGTCACCTCCAAACCAACTAGTCGCAAGCCCGCGCTGGGCACAACAGTACGAAGTAGTGGTTGCGACTTCGGCGATGACTTGTAAGAAACAAGTCATCGCCGAAGTCGCAACCACTACTTCGTACCTGCTGCTCACGTCGAAATTTGGACATTACATAACTTAACAGTCTCCTATATAAATACGTATCCTGTTCGACGGAAAAAGAGGCTGCAGATTTAGTTTTTCTGCGCGTCGACGGGATGTCTGTCCTGACGTTTCCTGGGACCGGCGCTGACTCTGCCGATCACGGGCGTTCTGGACTCGACGGGATGTCTGTCCTGACGTTTCCTGGGACCGGCTTAGACTCTGCCGATCACGGGCTTCCTGGACTCAACGGGATGTCTGTCCTGACGTTGCCTGGTACCGCGAGACTCTACCGATCACGGGCGTTCTGGAGTCGACGAGATCTCTCTTCCGACGTTTCCTGTGACCGGCACTGAATCGCTCGTTCACGCCTATTTTGGAGACGACGGGATCTCTCTTCCAAAGTATGTTTATGCTGACGCATCCTATCACCTAATCGGCGTCTATTCTAATTTAAATTCCTCCTCGTCTCCCTATTTCTTTCCAAATCCCCCTCTACATCAGGGAGTCGTATGCATAATACGACGAATATTGGTACGGTACGGGACAGATACAAGAGCCCGCAAATATTGTGGACAGCTGTTATGTACAAAGTTTTAAACAACACTGGTGAATTGTATTGCAATTTTATTGCAATTACTTTCGGAGTACTTTTTGGTGTACTTTAATGTGATCTAGGCAATAAGCCAGTACCGCAAACAGTCCAGAGTTGCAGGTCGCTCATCTGCTCCCTTTGCTGCCTTCATACATCGTTGAATGCTCTCTTTGTTTCTTCTCCTTCAGTACAAGCATGCCCGAAACCGGGGAATTTTTTTGATGGCACCGTCACTGACATAACCAATATTTTGAAGAATTTGACCTGCAAACCAGGATTGGTCTGGCCAGGATTGAAGCCGGGCGTACCTGCGCCCCACTACTGCGACGGTCAAAGCATCTGGCCTTCTTGCGCTGGTAAGAGTTTGATACATGTATCGATCAATGATGTCGTACTTTGATACATGTATCGATCAATGATGTCATACTTTGATCATGTGTACGTAGTTGTGCATTTTTTTAAATGTAGCGAAACCACTTTGGAGGTGAAAAAAACTTTTACAGAAGAAGTGCTATTTTCTTTGTTCTAAGTTGTTCTCAAGCATGCATGGACTGCGGAAATGATATTCCTATGGGGTGCTTATGTATTTTGTTGTGCTTATGGGGCCTCGAAGTAACGAAAATTGCGTTTTTCGCACTTTCAAGTGGCCATAAGTACAACAAAAAACATAAGTATGCCCCATAGGAATATCATTTCCGCAGTCCATGCATGCTAGAGAACAACTTAGAACAGAGAAAGCAGCACTTCTTTTGTAAAAGGTTTTTCATGGCCAAAGTGGTTCGAGCTACCTTAACCTAACTGAACAAAAGTTAGTGGGGGGGGGGGGGGGGGGGAGCATCAGACCGCCATTTTGGCAGCTACTTTCACCCATACCAGTAAGCAACCGACCAAACCCAGCTATTATGCACTTCCATACAGCATTGCCGCGTGGTACTTCCATTCCGTGTAGTAACCCATTGAACGCTGAAAATGCCCCCCCCCCTTGCGCGGGATGATGTCTATAGACGTCATGGAATATAATGGGATACCGTATTATCTAGGGGTGAAACGGGTGATCCGGGTTCGTTTAGCTGCTGATCCGTTAGCAAACGAGTACCCGTTAGTCCTGTACGACAGTACGGTACGGTGCTGACTTGCACAGTCGTACATCGCACAGCCGATGTACAGTTTGAGCGTGTTGTTCTTAATCGATCTTGCTACATGTGACCGTTTTGCATGTAGCACAGTGCATGCATGCAGTGCTTGTCACTCGTACTTGCATGTCATCCTGGCGCGAAATCCGGAAGGTACTAGTAACTGTCGTCTCTAAAAATAGTTTCCAACCGCTGCTGGAACTGTACCGTCGAGACTCACCCGGATAAGATTCGTTGTTATGGGAAATACTCTTCAGTGTTGCCTGTTGGAGCAAGTTTTGAACAAGTCGAGTCGTCTCCTTGTTTGTTTGTTTGAACTGAAGTGTTTAGGTTGTCTTTGCAAGTTTGCGATGTCGAACTCTGTGACTCTGTCCCAAGCTCCTTCGAGCGCATCGACTCAGTTCAGTCGCCAGACACGTTCCGCAGTGTGGAAATTCTTCACTCGCGATGTCGAGGGCCATCAAGCGAAGTGTTTATTGTGTGAGGATGTGCTGAAGTACGATGGCTCCTCGACATCGAACTTGCAGGGGCACCTGAAAAATCCCCACCCCTCTGACTTCGTGGAGCAGACCAGCACTGCCAAGAAAGTGGACTCTCAGCTGACCATCGCGAAGTTCGCCCAAAGTGCGGGTTGTGTCGGTTCCTCGTGCAATGGCCATCACCAAGATCCTGGCACGGTGGACCTGGCTAGATGGGCGGCCGCTCAGCCTAGTCACGGACTCTGGCCTAAAGGAGCTGATGGATTTTGTTGAGCCCGGATGTGTGCTTCCTTCGAGAACCCATATTGCTAAACTTGTCCGCAAGGATCACGCCCACGGTGTGACTCTTTTGAAGGGGAAGCTGGCCGACGTAAGCTATGTTGCATTGACCACCGACATTTGGACGTCCAAGGCAACGCATGCATTCGCCACGACTACAGCGCATTTCGTGGACGCGAGCTGAAAAATGGCATCATGCACGTTGGAGACAACTGAGTTCCCTGGTTCCCACACAGGTGTTCGCATCAGTGAGCAGATAGAGTCCGCTGTGCGCAAATATGACGTCGATCCAGCCAAAATCTGTGGCATCGTGCATGACCAGGCGGCGAACGTGGAATATGCAGGTAAGCATGGAACTACAACCATTATACCGTACTTCCCCACATATAAGCCCATGGGCTTATAAGTGAAAATTTGCTACAAAAAAGATTTGTTGCTGTGTGAACATGTTCGGGTAGAAGCCCATGCGCTTATATGTGCAACAAAGGTTTGTCTGTGCCCTAAACAACGGTGTTATCACAATGCTCAGCAGGATATTCAGCTCCCGGATGTTTCAACAATAGTGTTCACATATAAGCGCATTTGGGGGTGCGCTTCTGTCCGGACATAAGCACATGCGCTTATATGTGCTGAAGTACGGTACTAATTAATTTTATAGAATTGCATTTTAGAGATGAGTGCCAGGTAACTAGAATGATAATAGTGCATTTGACTTGGTGGACAGAGTGTGCAGTTTGAATAAGTCAAGCTGCTAAACAGATGGATCCTTTGCACATACATACATACATACCAGACACACACACACACACACACACACACACACACACACACACACACACACACACATACCGTGCATGCATGCATGTGGCAAGGGAACCAACGAATAAAGTAAAATTCATTCACTTACCGTAGCAAAAATGGAGCTCTTTGTCCTTTGTTTTTGTGCAACTCCAGGCCGTATCTTGTGGGAAGAGTTGAAATGGCCATCCCTTGTCTGTGCTGCTCACCGAATTCAAAATGCATTACGAGACTCCCTGGATAAGAAGACCTTATCAAACCTGTTTGCAAAGTGCCGCCACTTAGTTGGACATTTCAAGCATTCCGCCTTGAAAACTGGCCAGCTTGAAGATAAGCAACGTCTGGTTGGTGCAAAGGAAGTGAAGCACCTGGTTCAGGATTGTGCAACAAGATGGAACAGTGTGTACCTGATGTTGGATCGTCTTGTCCAGCTGAAAGTGCCTGTGCAGTTGGTCCTTGCGGATATGCCAGACAAAGATCGCCGCTCCATGGACTTGTCCGCAGACCAATGGGCCACTGCTGAACATCTCCTCGATTTCCTGAGGTCGGTGGACCAGGTGACAACATCTTTGGGCGGTGAGCAGTACTCAACCCTGTCCTGGCTTCTTCCCCTACTGAAGGCACTGAAGTCCCATTGCCAGACCGGAGATGATGACGATCTGCTGGTAGTGGCATGCGTGAAGCAGGCCTTTGCGGATAGTATAACTAGGCGCTTTCATTTGGATGGCTTAAATGTCAACGGAGAGGCAGTGCTTGCTGCTGCATTGGACCCTCGGTTTCGGGCTCTAAAGTTCCTCGACTTGGAGCAGCAACATGAAGTGCAGCAAACGCTCATCAGCTACGCAATTGTCGGCTGCTCGCCCTGCACGGAATCTTCAAGCTCTAGCTCCGAGCCACCAGCAAAACGCCGCTGCCTTCTGGATCAGCTGCTTTGCGAGGACGGTGAGGATGAGGATAGCGAGGGATCCATTGAAGCAGAGGTAGCAGCTTATCTGGCTGAAAAGCCAGTCAAGCGCTCTGTTGACCCTCTGTTGTGGTGGAGCACAAATGCTGCCGGATTTCCCCGCTTGGCTCCACTCGCACGGAAGTACTTGTGCATTCCAGCAACTTCTGTTGCAGCTGAGCGCGTGTTTTCCTTTGCTGGGCAGATCGTCGACAAGCGCCAGAGCAAGTTGTCTGCAGAAATGATCTATGCACAAGTCTTTCTGAACAAGAACGCCCACATCATCGATGTACGAGTTCCTGCGCCACCGAAGCCGGCCATGCCACTTGTCTTGGCTGCAGTCGAAGACGATGATGAACCTTCACTGCCAGATCTTCCTTCACAGCCAATTGAAGTATAGATAGTTCATGCTCTCTCTTGCTGTGTGTGCGTGTATGTGTGTGTGTGTGCCTGCCTCTCTCTCTCTCTCTCTCTCTCTCTCTCTCTTTCTTTCTCAAGAAGAAGATTTATTCTGGTTAGAAATGTTTCCGGAATGCCCATAAAAGAGGCTTTGTGCTTACGATCATAACCAGTGGCAATACAGTGACAATGCAGTGACAATGCAGTGGCAATGCAGTGGCAATGCAGTGGCAATGTTCTTGTAAAAACCGAACCGAACGAATGTTCGAATATTCGTTTCACCACTATAGTCAATACATAAAACACAGTCATAGGACAACATACATGCATATTGTGCATGGCACGCTGCATCAGGAATTGCACACTCTTGGGAGCTTACCATTATACTCTTGATAACGGCACGCATCCATTGTTTTGTTTTTGTTTTTTTGTTTTTCTTGATGTAAGAATTTTAAAAGTGCTGTGACTGTAGGGACCATAAGCAAGCCGTGAAACGGCAACGTGAAGGGGAGCTGGGTTAGAGTCCCGTCCTGACCAAGTGAAACATGCTCGTGTTTGACGAGTTCAGAACGAGTGGGTTTTACTCAAGCACCGTAATTCACGCCTCTTTTTGTCTTTGCGATTTTTCTCAAATTTCTAGAATATCTCACCCATTCTTGTTAGAATAAATATGATGGCGAAATGGACCAAACAACCAGTAGGACCATTGATTTTTGCATAACCATTACTAACACGACACAGAGCAGGATCGAGGGTAACCAAAGTGCCAAGAATTAGGCTTGTTCAAGACAACCTTCAGCTTGCTCGCTTATTTTTTGTCTGCTGCTCCGAAACGTAATATTAACTGACTGGCTCCGTTGTAAAGTCTTTCGGAGAATGTTTTGGCATGGACCTCATGAACACAACCCTTTGCTGCACCCATCCATCGGCGATGTGGCTGTCATGGAGTTCCTTTCACTTTCCTTCGGGTAAAAGTCAGGCAGGCTGAAAATTGTTCTCAAGGAAAAGTTCGCAAAAATTATATCAGAAAACTGTTTGAAACTGGAAAGCAGCCGACTCATGTAGACCGGTTGTTAACGCGCGCAGCTAATCCTAAATCACGCCGTGTTTCATGTGCGTTCCGATGAACTCGTTCCCGGTGACGTTTCACGGCATGCTAATGGTCCTTTGTGAAGTTGTGCTGTGCCGCAGTTTCCTATACCAAATCTGTGATATGTCCTATTCAATGTCTGAACGTACTAGTAAGGTTGACAAGGTCTCTGCTGGTACACTACTGCAGGAAGGTCTCTACTGGGATGACAGGTACACCACTGCTGGAAGGTCTCTACTGGGATGACAGGTACACCATTGCTGGAAGGTCTGTACTGGGATGACAGGTACACCATTGCTGGAAGGTCTCTTCTGGGATGACAGGTACACTATTGCAGGAAGGTCTGTACTGGGATGACAGGTACACTATTGCAGGAACGTCTCTACTGGGATGACAGGTACACCATTGCTGGAAGGTCTCTACTGGGATGACAGGTACACTACTGCAGGAAGGTCTCTACTGGGATGACAGGTACACCATTGCTGGAAGGTCTCTACTGGGATGACAGGTACACCATTGCTGGAAGGTCTCTACTGGGATGACAGGTACACTATTGCTGGAAGGTCTCTACTGGGATGACAGGTACACCATTGCTGGAAGGTCTCTACTGGGATGACAGGTACACCATTGCTGGAAGGTCTGTACTGGGATGACAGGTACACCATTGCTGGAAGGTCTCTACTGGGATGACAGGTACACCATTGCTGGAAGGTCTCTACTGGGATGACAGGTACACTATTGCTGGAAGGTCTCTACTGGGATGACAGGTACACCAATGCTGGAAGGTCTCTACTGGGATGACAGGTACACCATTGCTGGAAGGTCTCTACTGGGATGACAGGTACACCATTGCTGGAAGGTCTCTAATGGGATGACAGGTACACCATTGCTGGAAGGTCTCTACTGGGATGACAGGTACACCATTGCTGGAAGGTCTCTACTGGGATGACAGGTACACCATTGCTGGAAGGTCTCTACTGGGATGACAGGTACACCATTGCTGGAAGGTCTCTACTGGGATGACAGGTACACCATTGCTGGAAGGTCTCTACTGGGATGACAGGTACACCATTGCTGGAAGGTCTGTACTGGGATGACAGGTACACCATTGCTGGAAGGTCTCTACTGGGATGACAGGTACACCATTGCTGGAAGGTCTCTACTGGGATGACAGGTACACCATTGCTGGAAGGTCTCTACTGGGATGACAGGTACACCATTGCTGGAAAGTCTCTACTGGGATGACAGGTACACCATTGCTGGAAGGTCTCTGGTTTTAGTCATGGTGGTGACCAGCAGTTGTTGTTTTTCTTCTTCTTCAGACTCCCCACCCCCCCCCCCCCCCACCCCTTTTCAACACCCACAACTGTTGAACATCCAAGGCTTGAACTTGTATATTGTATTTATATTTGAACAGATGCTGATGAATGTAACTTGAACATTCATAAATGCAATGGAATGGCAATGTGTGTAAACACATACCGATCATACCAGTGCACATGCCCATCAGCGTTTCGCAGTAATGGAACTGACTGTGAAGGTAAATACTATAGGTTCATATTTCTCTCTAGATTCGTCAGCCGCGGTTGGCTTTCACCCCCTCCCTTTCGATTCGCAACTACATGCAATATAGGATGTGGAATAAGTAAATAATAAATATATGAGGCATCGGCAGCAAGAACCGGGGTCCTGGTGATTTTTCAATTTGCAAAAAACCGAACCGATGTCGTTTTTTAATCACCGCGATCAAAGCGGAAAGACTTCTTGCGCTATCGCTTTGAAAGTGCTTTCCTCTTGGTGGCTTCACTATAATTTGTTGTCATAACCTTTGCAGTTAATCTGCCAGGCACTTGGGGCGTCCAGGGAAATGTTTTCGCCTCCATGGAGGCGCTTGCGCTCTGGGTAGCGCCTGCGAAATCATGCGCTCGAAAGAGAGCGAAACAATTAAATTCTTGACGAAAGATTGCGTTACAAATTCTTGATGGAGCACGAGCGACTAGAATATTTGGCAGCTGGATCTCCAGAGGTACTCCGCTGCCTGCAATAGTCCATAGCAAGAAGAATCAGGTGAAAGGGACGAAGTTTCGCTCAGATGACAAGCCATCAGCGGATCAGCGGAGGCAGCGCAGATGATGAGTTTGAGAGCTCCAGAACACTAAATGTTAACGCAGACAGCATGTGCTAAGAGTGCAGAATGAGACACGAGCTGCTGTGCGTAGAAGAGGAACACATGTTTGGTGGATGTATCTGGCTTGGCCCAGCATGCATGTCTAGTCTTGTAGGTTCTTCCCAGCCAGGGAGTAGCACAGTATTGTACTGCTCCCTGTTCCCAGCCATGAGAAACGTCAGTTGCTTGGCTTCTTTTTGTCTGCCTATAACACCAGACCTGCACATGACAGGGATTGAGTTTTCAAGTTCATAGCAGCAAGTGCATGCAACATTGTTACTATATTATCAACTAGATTACTCTGTGTTTCCCTGAATACCTATTAATATGCTAAAATATCCTCAACAACTCAATCACAGCCAACTGTAACTGTCACCTAACCCTGTTTGTGCTGCCCATGTCTCATTATAGTGTTGTGATGGTGGTCCCTGGTGTAAATTTCTCCCTGCTGCTGCCGGGCGCATTGAACATGAAGCAGTAGTTACACTTTGCCTGAAGGGAAATCCCCAACACACTTTGCCTGAAGGGAAAGTAATGCTCTTCAGGCACAATCTTCCTAGACCTACTCAGGTTCAACTGATGAGGGCAAATCCCCAACACACTTTGCCTGAAGGGAAAGTAATGCTCTTCAGGGACAATCTTCCTAGACCTACTCAGGTTCAACTGGTGAGGGGAAATCCCCAACACACTTTGCCTAAAGGGAAATTAATGCTCTTCAGGCACAATCTTCCTAGACCTACTCAGGTTCAACTGATGAGGGGAAATCCCCAAAACACGTTAAGTAGCACAATTATTTCAAGGAATGCACTGCATATGCGAGCCCAGTTACTTATCTGCTCATAACTTTGGTGTCCTTTGGCTCTGAGCCAACATTTCATGGCTCTGCGATGACCAGAAGCGCCATACTTAGCAAGCGAGTTTTTGACGTGTTGCTTCGCTATGCAACTTGAGTTTTGACGTCGTTCGAAAATAAACTTCTTTTCGCAGGTGAACAGCGGCTCGCCTCTCGCCAATAACGCACCATGTACCAATGAAAACTAATGGAAGCACACCCAAGGCTTATTGTTTCTCTGTACTGGCCATCGTGGAGCCACCTCTGATTTGAAACGAAAAAAAGGCAACTTGGAGGCAATAGGCCAACACAAAGGAGTGGCTCAGTTCGATCGACTCTGGCCTCAGAGCAAACTTCAACATGCCATATTTCGAGTGAACAATCCACGCTGATGGACGGGTTGGGTCAACACAATTTTGCTGTCAAACCGTTCCTATTCAAACCGTCACCTCTGCCCCCCCCCCCCACTCTTTTTCTGTGGAGCAAGGTTGACTTGTTTCAACGCCAAGTTTCCTGTAACCCTCAAGCATGTGCTTAATGTAACAAATCCAAGGTTGTATTCGCATTTGTATTCATATTTGTATTGGAACAGATGTTGATGAATGTAGCTTGGAGCTTCATGGTTGCACTGGTCTGGCAACATGTGAAAACATGGTTGGTTCTTTCCTCTGCAAATGCCCACCGGGGCTTAAGAAAAATGGCACTGGCTGTCGAGGTAAATATTCAATCCATCTTTCTATCTCTCTATATCTGTCTCTCTCTTACTCTCTTTCTAGCTCTCTCTATCTATCTCTATCTATCTACTTCCTCCGTTAACAAAAACTTCGTGATGGATTTTTGAGGGGCTGGTTTGCGCACAAACTGCCGTGAAATGAGTCGCAATCACTTTCTTGGCCTTGCCTAGCGGGCCATGAAAGAGGTACGATTCAAGGAAATCGACCTTTCACAACAAGCCGAGCGGAATCGATGGTTGCGCTTTGGAAACATAGGTGATGACAGTCATGGCGAGCGAAACTGAAATACCACTTCTCCAAGGGAATATTGCGTTGCTAAGCCCCTCTACTACTCTAGCACTGAGTAAGTTGGAGAGTGATAAGCGAGTGCACACAATGAGCGAGTGAACAAGGAGCTGCTCCGATCGCACGGCTCAATGAAAATAATTCTGAACTCAAGTTTTTGTTCAACCTGCGCAAAGCCAAGATTCGAATGCTGATGACCATGTATTCTTTCAGAAGTCTGCAGTCTGATGCAAGTCTCGTGGCTAAAGAAAGTCGACTGGACTTGCTAGCCGCTGCCATTCAGTGCTGGCAGGGGTATCCATCAGAGAAAATAGAATCAGTTTGGCTGTGCCTTTACTCCTCGTTTTGCTGAGTTCTGGAGAGCGAAGATGAAACCAGGGAGTCGTAAAATATTTTTACGACTCCCTGGTGGAAACTAGGAATCGCCATCGCTGCGGATCACGCAGCTTGAAAGCCAACTTACTTGAACGACAGCGACATCAAAGTCAGCCGAGTGTGATCAAAGAAGCCGAGACCAGGCTGAAAGGAGCTGATCAACGACTCGAGAGAGATGACGACTCGCGTGCAGCAGATGACGACAGTGACGCAGGGTCAAAAATGAGTCGAGCGAAAGCGACGCAAACTGAACTCTCTGCTCATTCCGCCAACAGTTTCTCTTGTAAAGGTGCTGTACATAGGCTGAATCACCTTCATCCAGTGGTTTGCAGTCGATACAAACATTTCTTGACCTGTTCTAAGCGTTTTCATATCCATCAAAAAGATTCAAAATCTATCACGAAGTGTTTGTTAATGGAGGAAGTACCTCTCTCTCTCTATCTTTCTATATCTCTCTATCTATCTATCTCAATCTATCTCTATATCTATCTCTATATCTGTCTATCTATCTGTCTATCTATCTATCTCTATATCTGTCTATCTGTCTATCACTCTATCTCTCTCTCTCTCTCTCTCTCTCTCTCTCTCTCTCTCTCTGTACAGTAAGACATTGCTGTTCATGCCTTCGTGTTTACCCCTGTACAGAACTGAACGAATGCGAAAAACGGAATTTTACATGCAGCAGTGATGCTCACTGTACTAATGAGAGTGGGACATTCTCATGTGTTTGCAAGCCTGGATTTACTGGAGAAGGAATTTCCTGTACAGGTACGTTCTTTCCACACATGCCCTGGCCACGTCTTCAGTCCCAACTTTTGTCTTTTCTATATTGAATTTGACAGTCGGCTGATGAAACTAGGAAGGTGCCGGAGATGACTAACTGCCAAAAAATGTGAATTGCATCAGGAATGTTCAAAGGAGAAAAAAATTGGTAAATAAAACTCCAAACTCTAAACCAAAACTCTATTAAAACACAGTTGTCCCAGAAAGGCACCACCATCATTCTTAAAAACAGGAAATAGTCCAGGACGATAGATAACAAACTTTGACAGTATAACGACCATAACAGGAGATGACAGGAGATTGTAAACCTGTGCTCTAGGGAGCGCACGGCGGTCGCTTACGAAACGCACCGAGCACTTAGAGCTCCTACTCCTGCTGCCAACAAGGCTACGAATGTCCCCCCCTTTGCAACGACACAGTGTCTTGGTAAGTTGGTGGAGAATCTCTGTGACTCGAAATAATTGTGCGCTGGTGCATCTCTGCCGCCATTGCGAACAGGTTGTCGTCTCCGTAATCGCGATCATCGCGCTCGCTGTCGTCGTAACCAAACACATAGCTCTTTGGTGAACTGTTCGTGCAGTGGTCTGCAAGCGTCGTGTGGTCTCGTCGGGTCAAATGAAAACCTATTACAAACACATAGCAGTGGAACGACTCGTGGTGGTAATCCAGAAGAGACGGGTCCTCATGTGGCACGCAAACAAACTCAATGCTACATCGTTAATCGCCGTTCTGACTGCCTACGATCGATCGATTGATCAATCTTACCAACAAAAAATTCAAGATCGACTTTGTCTTTGACTTCATTGCCTTCACGATCGATCGTGATCGTGTTTTCTTTGAGTAACTTTGACGCTACATCTTGATGAAAGTTGAAATCAGGTCCTAAGGTACATTTCTCTTCTTTTTGAACTCAATTTCGTACCATGAGCACGCATTGCTTATGTGCGGAGTAACTCAACTGAAGAGATGAGGGCGACTCCCAGCCATGGCAAACGAGAAAAGCTCAGTGCCCTGTGCTATTATTGTGACCGTTTTTCCATGCACTGACAGTTATACACAGACACTGTGGGACCTGGTTCTAAAGATCATCCGGCTTTAACGACCGCTTTTACTTGCACCGTGGAGTGGTCGCTTAAATTAAACCAGGTTTTTTCTGTACCTGTTTTTAGGGTGATCTGAAGCATATTAGAGAGGTTCATAAGGGCGAAGGCACCCATTTCAACTGCATTCTTGGTATACTATCGCCGAAGTCGCACCAACCTCTTCTTCACATGGTTGGTATAATCAAGAGTATAACCCCCCAAAGAGTGTGCAACTCCTGAAACCCTTCCCATGGGGTGTGTCGACGGTGAAAACTCACATCACGTGGTGTGGTGCCGCAGTTGTAAGTTTTCAGGCCGTTTTCAGCGAGCAGCGGGGCAATAAAAAAGCACTCTCTGACAGAAACTCACTGCCGGTACCGGGTACGCAAAAAAGCCGCATAATCATGGGAGATTTTCGGATTGCGCGTACACTATCCTTCGTTTGTACGTAGTACAAACATACATGAGACACGTGATGTGAGTTTTCGCCGTCAGAGACCCCATATGCAGAGTTGCACACTCTTGGTGGGGGGGGGGGGTAAATAATGATAATATGAACAGGTCGTATATTGCCCGCATAAACAAATCATACGGGGTCATGCATCTGTCAAAGGTCGTTAACCGGAATTGCTTGTTGGTGGGGAGGTTGAGGCATTCCTGAGGCTTGAGGACTTCTTTGATGTTGTTGACCCATCTCTTGTGGGGTCGTCTACGGGGGCGCTTGATGTCCGAAGTATTGACTGCTCGCTGCAGTGCCTTGTAGCAGGCCGCGTTTGGTCCTTCCCGCGGGCAACGCGCCCCAGCCACAGGAGGCGACGCTTTTTACATGTTTGCGAGATCGGGGCTTGGTTGGTCTTTCCGTAAATCTTCTTGTTGGATATGTGGTGGTGGTGGTGGTGGGGCTTGATACTCTTGGTAACATGTGTAGGTCATTAACACACTCTCGCAGTAACGTATTGATTGCGTACCGTATTTTCCGGAGTATAGTGCGCACTTTAGATGTGCTATTTTAGGCCCTAAAGAAGTGCGCACCCCCAATGAAGATTGGGGGTGCACGTTATACTAAAGGTGCGCACTATACTCCAAAAAATACGGTATGTTACGAAATTCCGCTCGAGTATTATTTGCGCCCGTTGTATTTTGTTCTTGTCTTGTAGAGTCCGATGTCTGATGTCGTAATTATATGGTCTAAGTGTATATGCGAGTATGGTGTGATGTGTGACGCTTATGGTATGTAGTGCATGTAAGAGTACGTGCTGTCAGAGTGTGAGAATCTGCTTCCGTCTGTGTGAGGGTGACTGTCAAGTGAATGTCGTGCATGCGCAGCGCTAGTTTTGGTCTGGGAGTGAGAGCCATGTGTGATTCGTCCGTGGTCTGGTTGTCTTGGTCTAAGTCATGTACTCTCTATGCATTGGTCGCTGAATGGTCATCTCGATTTGGCGTCACTTTATCACTGCTTGTTCTTTGTTGTTTCTTCGTGTCTTCTCGCTTCGCCTTTCTGTTTGGGTCTTGCATTTCCTTTCTCCTCCTATGCCCTCGTCGTTTATTGTCAATATAAGAAAATAATGATATGGAATGAGACGCACAATCAAGAGTTTGCGTTGCTGTACGGCGGGGGCCTGGGGGAGAAGGTAACAACACACCAGTAGTGGTTCAACCTATGCTTATACTGCAGATATTGATGAATGCGCTAGGCCCACGAGCGGCAACTGCAGCCTGGCATCAACGTCATGCTTCAACACTCCCGGCTCCTTCGCGTGCTGTAGTCCTGGCTACCAACCATTCCAATCAGCTTGCGCCAGTAAGTAGCTACAGTCCATTCATTGGAAACTGGCACCCTAACTTTTTGGTGTCTCTCCGAGTCACGTAGTTGTCGATATTATCGTGAAAACAACAGTACATCCTGCATTGTGTGACCCGTGCAATTACTCCTTGCCACATTTGAGGCCAGAAAAGTCCAAGAACAGGGAAATAGAAATTCAGCCAGGTTTTACAAAATTAGGACAGGTATGCCATGGCAAAATGTATGGTTAGCATCCCCCCACCTCACAACAGAGCAACCGAGTTTTGCATTAAGCTGGGAGTGCCGATTCGAGCAACTGGTATAATGGCTCTGCTTGGAGCCGCTAGATGGCTCGCAGCTGAGCCAGCAAATGACTCCGCTTGGAGCAGGCGAATGACTCCGCATGGAGCCGGCAAATGTCTCCGCATGGAGCCGGCAAATGTCTCCGCATGGAGCCGGCAAATGACTCCGCATGGAGCAGGCGAATGACTCCGCATGGAGCCGGCAAATGACTCAGCATGGAGCCGGCGAATGACTCTGCATGGAGCCGGCGAATGACTCCGCATGGAGCCGGCAAATGACTCCGCATGGAGCCACCGAATGACTCCGCATGGAGCCGCCGAATTACTCCACATGGGGCTGCCAATTACTCCGCATGGAGCCGCCGAATGACTCCGCATAGAGCCGCCAATGACTCTGAATAGAGCCGCCAAATGCTAGATATATAGAGATGCATAACCAGTTGAGAGCATATATTCTCGCTAACTCGCGTTAGCATGCTAACGCTCATTTAGCACCCCCCCCCCCCCCCCCACCTCACAACAGAGCAACCGAGTTTTGCATTAAGCTGGGAGTGCCGATTCGAGCAACTGGTATAATGGCTCTGCTTGGAGCCGCTAGATGGCTCGCAGCTGAGCCAGCAAATGACTCCGCTTGGAGCAGGCGAATGACTCCGCATGGAGCCGGCAAATGTCTCCGCATGGAGCCGGCAAATGACTCCGCATGGAGCCGGCAAATGGCTTCGCATGGAGCAGGCGAATGACTCCGCATGGAGCCGGCAAATGACTCCGCATGGAGCCAGCGAATGACTCCGCATGGAGCCGGCAAATGACTCCGCATGGAGCTGGCAAATGACTCCGCATGGAGCCGCCAATGCCTCCGCATGGAGCTGCCAATGACTCTGAATAGAGCCGCCAAATGCTAGATATATAGAGATGCATAACCAGTTGAGAGCATATATTCCATAAATCGGCACTCCCAGAGCGGATCACAAAGTGCAGCTACCTGTGAAACTTGTAAGCAGTGCAAGCTCGGTAACGATTGACTAACAGAACTCGATATCATGGGCTGAGGCCATTGTCACAGCCACCCATGCTTTGGCTGCTGGTGGCCTCTGAATGTTACTCGGGCAGACGTGGCTTTCCACCTTCCTGCCTCTCTGAGTATCGAGTCCGGCAGCTGATTCGAAACGAGTGGCCGGTGTATAACGCCAGGCCATAGCCACAACTGATGAGCAAGATTTTCGCAGTTGCTGTAAAGCCGATCAATTGGCATCTGCAGCTGGTGCCGCTAGCTTTCCCAGGTGCTGCCACAATTGCAAACCACTCTTTGCGATTGGCTGGTCTGCTTGATTGACTGTCCATCCCCGGTCGCAATTGTTTGCGCACCAGCCAAGTGCACCACTTGCATCAGTGAATAGCAGCAAGTTGGGGGACGGCGTCCACTTAGGTTGTAGGAAGAAGGACCGGCCGTTCTACTATTCCAGGAGCTCAGGCCATCAGCGAAGATATTTGAGGCACTCTTCGGAGAGCTTGATCAGGTAATACGGCTGCCGGTACTGGTTGGCAAGTGACCACAATCTGCAATGTGCGTCCTGGGACTATCACTCTTGTAGCAAATGAGAGCTTTCCCAGAAGATACTCGAGTTGACATTGGGTAGTTGCAGCTGTGTTGAGAGTGGCCCGTAGGTCGTGAAGCTTGGCAAGTTCGTCCATCGGCAGACTGATGTGAGCGCGCGGGTGTCCAGGATGACGCTGATAAACGTCAGGACGTGGGCTGGACCCTCCACTTTTGCTGACGCCAAAAAAAACACCGAGGTATGTAGACGCGCGGCGCCGAGTAGCGAGTTGCTGGCGAGCTAACACAGGTCCAGAGCATACATCGAGGAAGCACTTTTGCTGACGCCAGAGAAACACCGAGGTATGTAAACGCACGGCGCCGAGTAGCGAGTTGCTGGCGAGCTAACACAAGTCCAGAGCATGCATGGAGACAGAAACGTTAGTCGAGGTATTTCCCGTAATGGGAAGATGCCAATAACGTCAGGACTTGAGCTGGACCCTCCACTTTTGCTGGGGTCAGAGAAACACCGAGGTATGTAAACACTCGGAGCAGAATAGCGAGTTGCTGGCGAGCTAACACAAGTCCAGAGCATGCATTGAGGAAGTAACGTTAATTGAGGTATTCCCCGTAATGCAACAGGCGTGGGAGTGCGAACTGCCCGCACACAATCCATTCACTGGCGGATGCGACAGAGTTCCATATAGCTGGCCTGGAGCGTAGTACAGCCTGAAGGGCAGAACGCTCTCATAACAGTATTCAGTGATCCTGCCAGCGGATCTACAAGGGCCACTCCTCCGGGCAGACGGGAATTCGGCAGAATGAACTTTTAACATTGAGCTTAGCAAGGTACAGCGGGGCGAGCAATTGTCTAATCATGTTGCAGCATTGTCATCTTGACATTGTGGAGAGATACGGTCTGCTGGAATGTAATCGTTGACACTTCGACCCTCCAGGCTTTACAAAGGGTGTGTCGTGTGTAACTTCCCGTTAGTCTAGGAACCGCATCTACGCCGGAACAGCACAGAGACGAGAAAGGGGGTGAAGAACACGGGCCAGCTGTTTCAAGCCTGCTGCAAGAAACGGATCGTTGCGCAGAAATATAATCTGGGTTAGCATGTGACCGTGTTAAATTCAATGGATCCCAGTTAGTTGAGTGGTTGCCGATGAAACCTAGCACAACACCACAATTACGACCATGTGCAACATACTTCCGGAGCATAGGATCAGGATGTGAATCCAGTAATTTTGAGAAGTGAGAAACTGAGTGCTTACACAGTTACTGATGATGCCTTACACTTAGCCCTAGGGTGCTCCTGTCGGCACTGGAGGCAGCACTGCCTGAGCTGACACGTGCAAGCGCCGTACTCGTAGTAGCGGCATACGGTTGCGGTACGTGATGCGGATCTGTACTGGTGAGTAGGACGAAATGCGCATGGAAATGCTGGCGGGTGCACTGAGCTGCACTGCTGGCAGGCGGGTCGTGCTGTTCCAGTACACCGTGAGGCGCAGTTGCCACAAGTTGATATTGATAACCTGGCTTTGGAGATTTTTATTTTCCATTGCTATCAGGTTCGGCTTAATTCCCTCTGTGCTGCACTGATGAGTCCACAAAGGACGAAACAGTTGTCCGCAGATTGAGTATTGATAACGTCCAGTTTCTAGGTGGCAAGAACTGGCAATTGGCCGCGACGATCGTGGCCAAATACGTCCACAGGCACTCGTGAAACGCGGTGAGGAACAGTGGAACACAGACCATTCATGAACACTGTGCTACCGTCATGCAGCCTACGAAGCGCAGTTCTGGGTTCGGATTCAAATAAATGCTAGTGCGCTCGAAGAGCAACATATGAGGGGCTACGGAGTTGGAACGTCACCGGAGCTGCACTGACTGCAACTGTATCGGGCAGCAGGAAATCGAAGTCCACGAACTCGCCTCTGTGGACACGATCGAGAAGGGTCCGTATAGGACAGTCAGTTTGACCTGCTGTTGGTCCTAATGCTCTCTGATGTACAATAGCCGCGATTAAGTCTTGTACCCGGGACTGACCCGGTTGCAAGAGTTGTGCCAGGTAGATCTACACGTGTACCCGGTTGGTTTGAAATCCTAAAGCAGACACTGTAACCCACTGTTGTGTGAGGATGTGTGGATAACAATGAACCTCTCAGTACAGCAGGGTCCGCACAGCCCTTGAAAACCCTAAAATATACCTAAAAAAAATTCCCAGTAAAGAATATACTGAAAAAACCGTAAATCTTGTTAAAATACATGGTTTGTCCTGAAATATCCTTGAAATTCAGTTTTTTGGCGGCGTCAGTGTACCCTGTGATGTACAGTCTGTGCCAAGCATGCCACTGTGATCAACTGTTGTGTACGAGTCGTACTTCAAATTCACAAGCGCACGCGAAACGAAGACTGCGCGGCCTGCTCGGCTTGATCTTGCCGTTCGCGCCTGCACTGTACGAGCGTAGTACTAGCTGCATACATGCTACATACAGTACTAGCGGGAAGTACGGCAGTGGTCCTGTGTCGACGAGTCGAAACTACACATTTTTGAATTTTTCGAGTAACTACTTTAGTTGCTCGCGCTCTTCAAGTGGTAAGTAGTTTTAGCCTAGCCTCTACTGGCTCTTCTTTTTGTAGTTCACCGCAGATTGAGTAGTTCGCTGGTACATGGTGTGGATTTTCTCGTAACTCGCCGTGCGTCGGAGCAGTTGTGGCGGAGATGCCTCCGAAGGGAAAATGTCATTTTCGTGACGCTTGGCTGTCAACACCGGAGTTTCGCAAGTGGCTAGTAGCTATTCCCAGCGATGAATTCAGAGCACGATGCTCACTCTGCAGGTCAGATTTTGATATTTCGGGCGGCGGTATCTCCTCAGTCAAGAGTCACGCGAAGGGGAAAAAGCATTGTGAAGCTGTGGAGCGGAGTACTCCAGCTTTGACAGTGAATCGTTTTTTCGTTCCGTCGTCGACAGTTAGCAGCAGCGCCAGTGCCAGCGCCAGTGCCAGCAGCAGCGCCAGTGCCAGCAGCAGCGCCAGTGCCAGCAGCAGTACTAGTACTAGTACTAGCCCAGCGCCACCACGCAGTGATCTGCCACTGGTGAGTTCCCACAACGCTACCCCAACAGCTACCCCAACACTATCATCGCGTATCACTCGCATGGACTGCTTGCAAGCAGAA